AACTTGGGTGTTGCAATCAATACTTATCTGCTTTGCTCTAGACTGGTTTTTATGCTGTGATTACCACTGTAATAATTAAGCTCCTCTTTGAGCCAAAGTGGGTATCTTTAGACCATCAGGTGGAATTTGGGAGAATCCAGACTGTTCTCTTCTCTATCAAACGGCCTTGCTGGGCTGAGGCTGGGGAAGTTGGATCAGGAATGAGATAACTGGCAGTTTTATACAAGTTTCACACTCTGTAACTGCTCTAGGAAAACTGAATTGTTTGCTCCTCAGCTGGTTATCCACAACCAGCAAAAGCCTCAATTGTTCGACCTTGAGCTGAGCCCCACAGGGATCAATATAGCTTTGTCTCCCTGCCACAGCCTCTCAGGCTGCCATCACACATGGATACCAAACTCACGGCACTTGCCACAGTGCCCATGAGCAAGGCCCTTGGGGAGGTTTCAACCACCAGTGGCTTGTGGCAAAGGAGCAGAAACATGAATAAGACTGTTTCTGTTAACTTGAGTACAAGCTCCTCAGGACAGGAGCTGCCTTTTTCTTCTGTGTTTGTCTGCCCATCCAGGACAACAGGCTTGGCAGTGAGATCTCTGGTAATGCAAAGACCTTGCAACAACTGTCCATGTTCATATTGCTGCTAACCCAATTCACAGGAGGCCACTCTTTAGGGTTTCTGTTGAGAGGGAGTTTATTGATAAGAATATGAACATACATGAATCGTTATTTTTCCCAGGAAGTTCTTTTTCAGTCAACCAGGCATTTAGCATGGCTCTGAATAAGATGGAGAGATGAGGAATGATAAATGTTAAAGCCTCTGGACTGTGATCTCAGCAGCTTATGGGTAGGGAGAAGTTGCATTAGCCTGAATAAACATAAGTCAAGAGAGACGTGAAGTAAAACTAAGATGAGCTCAAAAGCAGGCATTGCCTACCATCTGTAAACTATCTTACTGGATTCTTTTCTTGGCTGTGTTAGTTGTTATCTTGGTGCACAGTACAGGGAAAACAGAGCATTTCCTAACATAATTAGCCATAGATGGTGGGAGCCTGTGGTAGCCCACATAGAACATGTCAGCGTGATAAATGTTACATGGCCCTGCGCTGGGACCTTGTCCAGGCTGTGGTTCAACTACTGGAAATTTGATTGGACTGCATTCAGTAAGGAAAAAATAATCTATACCTTTGTGGGCCATGGATCATGCAGGTTATGAGTTAATATTAAGGAGAAGAAAACAATAGGATAACGCCCACTCCTCGTACAAAGTCACAGAGGGGAGAATCTGGGTTTTGTCCCTTTCAAGAGATGAGAGACTATAGCATATCCCCTAGTGAAATATTTCTAATGCTGACAAGTGCTAACTCATTTAGTCTGTCTAGGAAATCATCAATTCTCATCCCCACTCTAACTGAACAAATCACAGTTTCCTGACAAATCCAGTTCAGAGGGCTGCTACGGTCTTTTCCATGGTTTACCATCACAAACTGGGATGGCAAAAGTCATAGGGCACGGCCGGCTTAATAAGCCCACAGCCGTGTCCTGAATCACAGGAGAGGGATCGGACCATGAGCAGGGAGGTGCTGGCCTGTTGCTGGATGCTGCAGGTCGGTGATCCCAGAAGAGAGCTCTGCTGGCTGGAGGAGAGGAGCTAATGAAGCTGTTTGTGCTCCCAGGCAATGCCTATTAAACTATCCACAACTAGTTAGACCAGGTTGCCAATGTCCTACAGCATAATAGCGTGTCGGATAAGGACGAAAAGGGTCTGGCTGACTCTCTCCACCTGCTTTGTCAAAACCCAATCAGTCAATCATCTGAAGAGGAATGGAAGTGGAGAGCAAGGACTTGCATCGTTCCAAGGAATGTCATTCCTGCTTTCATTAAATTAAAGTTGATCTGTATTGTCATTCACCATTGGAATTATTAAAGTATTTTTCCCCTTACCTGCCTTCCTCCCAGGTGTCAGTGCTACAGTCAACAACCACAGCCACACTTTACCTATCTCGCAGGGTAAGGAGAGGGTTTTTTCCTATGTGTTGCTTCAGTGCCTGGGGACTTATAGTTGATGTGAGAAAAATGCCTAGTTCAACTGCTCACTGAAGGACCAGCAAAGAAAGCAATACAGCATTTTATAAAGCAATTTTTTTAACTTCGCAGGTAGGCAGATGAGTGGGCTATGATCACTCCTGAGGCCCAGCAGCATTTAAATGAACTATCACATGCATCCCTGCCTTCTTTGCATAAGAAGCAACACCGCTTTCCCTTTGCATTTGTATCTTCCACCTCCCAGACAACAAGAAATAAATCATTTCTGTGGTCCTAACTCAGGTAATTAGCCAACAAACACTATTGACAAAGTCAATGAATGAAAGAAACAGCAGATGAATTCGCTAATGAACTCCTTGAGGAGAGTGCACAAAGAAAAAGTAATTTGGCCCTCTTGCCCCCCAATGCTGGTTTAATTTCATAACCTGTCCATTCAAAACCTCCTACACAAGTTCAATAACACTCGCTCTTCCAGTTCTGCAGTCATGAGTTTAACTGCGAAAAAATCCAAGAAGAGAGATATATTTTAGAAACCTTTACAATGATCTAAAATAGCTCTTTGATGCATAGCAGATGTCTTCAGAACTAGCATAAATGGAGCCAAAATGCCTTACAGTTCTGGGAAAGGGAGATTCCAAGATAAGATGTATTTCTAACTGCAGCAGCTCTGGAATAGATTTGGAATTTATATTAATCATCAACCTCAAGAGAAACATTTAAAAGAAGCCCTTCTGTCCCCCAATTTGGGACAAGTGCCTTATTGGGCTACATGCTGCTCAAAGACCTGATGTCTGCCTGGAAGTAGTTCCTCTGTAACTGTAAAAGATAACAGATGTGTTGAGATGGGGAAAAACAGAGAGAACAACAAGCAGTGAGACATGGAGGTGACAGACTGGGACTGCCTGCCCTTCATCCCTGGCTCTAGTCGGTTAGGAAGGGGGTGCTTGGCAGGCTTCACTGTAGAGGGGAGGACTGAGGATGGATTGGAAGGGGGTCAGTGGGATGGCGCTGAGGGATGCTAACAAGGCAACACCTCTGAGACACACAGCACGGGAGAAAAAGCGTGAAGGGGCATGCTGGAAAACTGAACATCCAGGAAAACTGACCCTGGAATCAAAGTGGGGGTGGGATTCCCCAGTCCTGTTGCTCACCAGAAGGGATAGCCAGAATGAAGACTTGCTCTGAGAAGCCTTTTTAAAAGGGAGAAAAGAAGTCTGTGTCTGATACAATGGAGTAGGTGGTACAACTGGAAAAAACCACAAAGCACAAACATGCAGCCAAAGTGATGAGTCAGGACAAGAATCTTCTTATTACTGCTCTGAACAACGCATCTTGTGTACCAGGCCTTAGTTTTCATGAAGATTTATGCTAGCATCCTTGTAACGCCCTTAAGCTGGACAATGTTAGGCTGTGCTCACAGAATAGCTAGGGAGTGTCTCCTACTTGAATACAAGAAAGAGTTAGATGGAGGACTGAAAGAGTGACACAGCAATAAGATGGAAGATTTGATATGAAATAAATCTTAAGAGCAGAAATGCCAGAGCTAGAAGATTCTATATACATAATTAAAGGTGAAAAAAATAGGTTCTATTTCCCTATACATGCAAATGGCTCAGTCATGGTTAATACTGAAAACAGCAGAAGAGGAAAAGTCAGGTAGTGATGATGATACCACAGAGGAGTAGTGTTCCCCTCAACAGCTCTGCTCCTCCCACCTCTTCCTGGCAGTCTTTCCCCGTCTTCCTTCTTTTGGTATTGCAAGAAATGGGCCAGAAATACAAACTGCGTATCTGGCTTTCATATACATGAAAGCTCAGAAGGACTTTGGTTTGGCTGAAGGGATGAGACAGGAAATCTGAGTAACCCCAATCTGAACCACAGGCCCCAAATCCAGGGGCTTCTGGATGCAGCCCTTGGGTTGAGTTCTGTTCCAATGTGTCATTCTACCTTTCTCTCTCCAACCTTCTTTCTGCAATGCTCTCCCCTTTTCTGGCTGCTGAATTACAGTAGATAGCTTGACTGTCTGTAGCACATGCAGAAAGCTTGTATTCTGCCTACCTCAAACCCTCTTTACATATATGAGAATATCACAGAAGACTATTCATATGGAACTAATCAATGCTTTCCCCACGCATTTTAGATGAAAGAATATCTGACGGCAAAAGAAATCAGGTAAAGAGTTCTTCTCTCCTCAAAGGACATAATACAGAGGAAGAGAAACCTACCTCTTGTTCCCATCCTGCTGATAAATCTTTAGGGGATGAAGGTTTCCTTGCAACCCAAGCTGCTAATCCCATGGAGTCTGACTACTGAAAGGATATTCTCCTTCCAAGCCTGCCACGTCCTTGAGCGTGGAAGGCACAGTTAGATAGCAGAACAAAGCTGGTGAGTTCTCCTTTGTTCTGTCTCCATCCTGCTCTTCACCCATCTTGCAGATCAAATGCCTTCTTTACTCACCTCACAAGACACAGGAAGACTGTCTGCCAAAGTGGAGAGTAATATGAAATCATCTGTGCCACTGTTTGCCTCTCCTTTTTAAGGCAAATCAGTGGGAAGCAAATTCCATGGTTTTTTGAAAGAACCTCTTCTATGTAATATCTAAACAGAAATCCTTTCCCCTCTCTCTGGCACCAGCAGTATTTTGTCTCCACCACTGTGCTGTGCATTACCAGCAGTAGAGATTGGGACAACTAGATGAAGACCAAAGCTGAATAGAATTACAGGTCCAATTCTGTAGAGCATCTACTGAAGTAATTTCATTTGTTGCCTTGGACAACCTGGTTATTGTGCCTGGGAAATCACACTGCAAAACAAGCTTGCAGTGCATTTAAGATTCTTGCCACTTTTTTACAGCTGCCTGTATTGCTACTGAAATTTTCTATTGATGTTGGAAGAGAAGAAAACTACTGTACAGTTCACAAATCACCAGCACAGTTGAGTCCAGTTGGGTCTCTTACCTGTTGGGGTGAGGTGCCTCCAGGTGATGACAGGCTCAGGACGCCCATTTGCCATGCAAACCAGGGTCACGTTGCTGCCCTCATTCACGGTGATGTCCGAGGAGATATTGGAGATCTTTGGTGGAACTGTGAAGACAAAAGAAAGTTGGACCTCATTACCCAGACTTCTGGAGGGCAGCCTGTCTGACTCATTAACCTACCTACCTATTAACCAGAGACAGCCACAGACTCCTTTAACAGGCTGCACTCCTCATTACTACCTGGGTTTCTGAAATTATACCAGAATAATATGTACCGCTGCTTAAAGGATCTGCAGGTAGAACTGGCTTTTGCTGCAACTGTGATGCTTTGTGTTTGGACAGGTTTGGGGGCCTTCGTAAAATAAACTCTAAGAACTTGCCTGACTGCCCCAAGGCTGCACGGAAGGAGTTGGCAGGCTCCAAGCACTGTTCCAGCTAATTTTTACACTCCAAACAGTCCCAGATGCAGTTCTCCTGCAGGGTGCCAGGCCTCAAGGCACTGACTCAGAGGGTGTATTAGTTATTGCTACCTCCCACGGGCAGATAGAACCCATGCTGCTAGCCAGGACCCTGCTCTGCTGCTCACGTAACCAAATGCTCACTGGGAATTAAACCGGAGAGCTGTTAAGCTCATTTCTGTTGCGAATGCCGTGATGAGGTGAGAAGCAGGGACACGCGCCATGGCTAATGGGAATTTGCTGAGGGAAGGCACAATGGTGACAGTGGGAAGGTTTCTGCAACATCTTTCAGCCAAGAGGGATCCCCCATAGGCTGCCCGCAACAGGTAGCTTCTGGCTGGCTGCACCTCATGTGGCACAGCTCCAAAAGCATGGCAGGGTCCTTAAAGATTCACAAGACCAGCCATGGCTCGGGCATTCAGGATCCTTAAAGACCTTCCAAGCTAACTGAGTTTGTGTCACGGGACCAAAGTGACCATGCTGGGACCTGAACAGGTACCTCCAGGTGTGGAGCATGCCGGTGTATCAGCCTCCAAGCAGACCAGGCTGTTGCAGTCTCTCCTTTCTCACATCCATGTCTTGCTTCCACGCTTCACACCCCAGAGGTGAAGAGGGAGTTTGACTAAAAAGGAATCTTCTAATTTTTTTTTGAACTTTTTTTTTTTTAATATATTTTCAGCTTCTGAATTTGTGTGTAGTGAGGAATGAAACAACATCATTTTCTGCTTTGCTTACCACAGAGTAAACAGACAGCAGCCTCCCATTCCCCCTCCTTGGCAGGAGTGGATGATGGTCCTTCTGAGGCAAAGCTGTACGAGCTAGTTGGGGAAAAGGAAATGAAGCCTGAAGAGAGCAACTCACCACTTCCAGCTGTGTTGCTGGATTCATAGGAATATTGTTTACAACCCACAGTTCATTAGCCCCTCTCTGTAGGCCCCAAACTCATGGACAATGTTTCAGCATCTATGACCATGGGACTTTTCAGCTTCTAAATTTGTGTGTAGTGAGGAATGAAACAACATCATTTTCTGCTTTGCTTACCACAGAGTAAACAGACAGCAGCCTCCCATTCCCCCTCCTTGGCAGGAGTGGATGATGGTCCTTCTGAGGCAAAGCTGTACGAGCTAGTTGGGGAAAAGGAAATGAAGCCTGAAGAGAGCAACTCACCACTTCCAGCTGTGTTGCTGGATTCATAGGAATATTGTTTACAACCCACAGTTCATTAGCCCCTCTCTGTAGGCCCCAAACTCATGGACAATGTTTCAGCATCTATGACCATGGGACCCCCTTGGAGGAACAGGGGCTCCTGAGCAGGAACAGGACCTGTCGAACAAAGTGAGGCAGACATGTCTTTGCCGACAGGCTCTCTCACCTAGGCAAGGAGGGATTTATGCTGGGCACACTGGGGAAAGATTGCCATAATCTGGGGAGAAGTGACAGCACGACGGGCAGTGAGGAAGCTCACTGTGTTGTGTGGGGGCCAATGCAACAGGGAAGGCTTTTGCACTCCTCTTGTGAAAGCAGGACAGCTGGAGGCCCATCTCAAATCTGGAGGCCTGTGCACCAATGCAAGCATCATGGTGAAAACACAGGAGGAATTAGATGTTCACACAGATTCGCAGTATTATAAACCCATTGGGATGACAGAGCCATGGTGGGACAGCTCTCAGGACTGGCAGTGCTGTGCGGGATGGATACAGGCTTTTCAGGAAAGACAGGCTGGAAAGGCGAGGAAATGAGGTGCGCTCTCTGCAAAGGAGTGGCTGGAGTGCACCCAGCTCTGGGTGGTGAACTAGCTGGGAGCTTAGGCGTAAGGATCAGAGGATATCACAGTGTCACCCCTGTTGGTTGGTGTCTGCTACCAACCATTTGATTAAGAAGAGGCAGTGGACAAAGACTGCTTTAGACAGATAGAAGAAGCCTCAAAGTCACAGTCCCTGGCGAGGGACTTCAACCACCCTGATATTTGCTGGCAGGATGAAAGTGCTGGGCTCAAGCAGCCCAGGAGATGTGGGGGTCCAACAGGTTCAGCATGAGTTAGCAGTATGCCCTTGCAGCGAAGACCAAGCATCCTGGGTTGTATTAGCAAGAGTGTAGCCCCGTAAGTGGAAGGAAGTGTTTATCCCTTTATATGGTGCTTGTTAGACAGCATCTGAAGCACTACATCAGTTTTGGGCTCCCCAGTACAAGGCGGCCATTGACATACTTGAGCAAGTCCACTGGAGGACTCCCAAGATGGTCAGAAGGCTATAGCATTTGACGTACAAGAGAACCTAAGAGAGCTGGGTCTGTTCAGCCTGAAGAAGAGAAGGCTGAGGGGAGATCTTATTGCTCTCTACAAATAGCTAGGGGGAAAGTGCAGAGAAGACAGAGGCAGGCTTTTCAGAGAGATGCACAGTGAACAGCGAAAAGCAGCAGACATGAGCTGTAACATGGGGAAAATTCTGACTCAAAATGAGGAAAAAGCTTTTACTTTGGAGAGGTCAAAGACAGGAACAGGTTCCCTAGAGAGGTGGTGGAAACTCCATCCCTGGAGATATGCAAAACTCACCTGGATGAGGCCCTCAGCAACCTGCTCTAACTGGCACCAGGAAGGAAGAAGGGACCTTGGAAGCTGGTTTGCTGCTCAAGAGCTAGAACTGATGGCTGATCAGCTCATGGTGAAGCAACCAAAGCAAGGCATGTTGGGGTAATTGTTGACTGCACCAGGGTCCCCTTCCCTGGAGAGAAGGAATTTCAGAGTAGGGACACCTCCCTAGCAATACAATACTGGGTAAAGCAAAGCATAGCAGAAGATCAGCCCCTTCCTCTCAAAGCGAAATCCGCTGACAAACACAAAGCCCTGCTACATTTCACATCGGTGATTCACTGCGAGCCATCGGCAGTGTGTCTGCACACATGGGAAGAGGTAGGAGGCAACAGAACAAAACAAAATAAACATTGCTGGAGAACGCTGAAGTTGTCAAAGAATTTGATCCCACTGTATCGAGGGGTACATGAGAGTTTCACTGACTGTAGATCCATTTTGTGCCTCGTCCCCCTTTATCACACACCCATTCTGCACAGCAAATGCCTGGCAGTACAAAACAACAATCACGCAGTGGTCTCGGAAAGTGAGCAAATACCTTTGCCATCCAATACCCCAAGACTGCATAAAGGGCAGCAGAAAGGAAATACCCCAGCTGGGAAATTAAATACCCTGCCTCCTCCAAAAGAAGCTTGCGGCTTCGTGTTTCATGGCACACCAAAGCAGAGAGGCAGCTTGCAGCACCATGCTGAGATCTGGCACAGCACTGAGTCAGCAGACTCAGAAGCACTTTCTCCTCCTTTCTGTCCCACTGGATGAGGGGAGTCCCCTGTCTCACGGCTCAGCACAGACAGACCCATCGCCCCAGCCAGCAGAGCTGCAGGCTGGGAGAGCCCTGCAAGTTCTGGTGCAGAAATCCAATCTGTTAGTCTTACTACAGGGAACAAAGCAACTCGGAGGGCCACCTCAGTCCTGTAGCAGCACAGCTACCTGTAGTACATACTGTGTTTCAGATCTGAGACCAACACGCACTGGAGAGGACAGAGGGGCTTAGTCTGGTAATGAACAACAGAGGCTGCTATTTTTGCAAGAGTTGTGTCCTAGCTGCTCTGTCAGGGGACACAAGGACGGTGACTTTGGAGTGCCCTCAGCACAGCTTCTCTGGTGTGCTGGCAAACATGGGTAAGCAGAGCCCAGGAGTAGAATCGTTGGCTAGACCACGTTTTGGGGTTTTATCTTAACCATTTGCATCAGGAAAAAAAGCCATGCAACAAACCAAGAAGGACTAAGCTCAAGCAGGACTAGCAGATGGAGCTGTAGGGCAGTCCGAGGTCCTAGCAGAAGGGTGTGATGACAGCCAAAACAGTTGAGGAGAGAGCACCAAAAGCCACTATGGGGCACCAGCAGCAGAGCTGCAGTAGGACATGTGTACCCTGCCGCTTTCCAAAGCTGTCAAGTCATTTTAGTTCACAGAGGATCAAGTAAACGCAGCAAAAACAAACAGATCTGACCATGCAGACCAAATGCCCAAGAGGAGGAGGATGTGTCCAGATGGTCATATCTGGCTCGCCACTTTTTCACATGACGGAGAAAAGGGCATCCAAGGCTGAAATCCTGTTAGGAGTATAATGACTGGTTCCTTTCAGCTGCCTCCTTGGTCAGAGGGCAAGGAAAGGCTGAGAGGAGGGGAAATAGGGCAGGAAATAATTTCCCTGTGAATTTAAAACCTGGTTTGGTTTCGTCTGCTTAGAATCCAAAGCCAGCTAGCATTAAAAATGACTGGATCTTAGTGGACAGTAATTTCACTCAGATAAAAAGTCAGAGATTTTTAATTTTCAGGGTGTCAAGCCAGCGTGTTAAAATGCCAAAACTGTCAGCACCAGCACCAGTTAGCACTGCCTCCTTGGCACTCGTCATTACTTTGCACACACCTTTTTAGGACAGTCTTAAAATGAGAAACTTTGACCTTATTATTTTTTCCCATGTGTGGGTTTGTGTTATGTTCTCACAGTTCCCAGACTGCTGGAAGAAGGATTGCTGAGAATAAAACCTCCTGGGACCAGAATCTTCTGGGTGTCACAGCCTCCTTTTGCCCAGCCATCTCTTGTTGACCCTCAACCG